CCTCCCTCCTCCTCTCCTCTCCTCTCCTCTCTATCCTCCCTCTCCTCTCTTCTCCCCTTCTCTCCCCTCCTCTCCCATTTTCCTCAACCTTTGTTCGGTCTCCTTTATTCCAGCTGCTCTTCTTGACAACTTGCTGTACCAACTTTACACCACTAGCAACCCTGCTCCCCTTCGCTGCCCCTGTCGTACTTATTTCCATGTTCATCTCGGCATTGCACTATCCCACCTGTCATCCTTTATTAGCCTTTCGCTTTGTTGCCTGGCAGTGCTGTTTTCTCTTATATCCTTTCAGGTTCAATTCACTTGAGGTCAAGTACAACAGGATGACAAAAAGAAATTTCCTGCTCGTTTCCTTCTTCATCTCGTTCATGTTCTCATCGTCTTCAGCATTCGTCGCATTCCCCAGCGATCTCCTGCTGCGACTTCGCCCGCGTTCTCTCCCTTGGTGTCGAGCAGCAGGAGTTTGGAAGAACTTGAGGATGAGCGCGCCGGAAGCAAAGGGGCTGGTTGGGGTGTGGGATGTGAAGTACACAATAGAAGGAGAGAGTTTCTCGACTTCAGTCTGGCTGGCTGAGAACGGGATGGTGGTGGAAACAAACAAGGGAAGAGAAGCAGGAGGAGGGAGGAGGCAGGAGAAAGTATCAAGGAGAGAGGAGGGAGGGAGGAAGGAAGAAGGAGGAGATGACAGTGAGGGAGGAAGGATTCTGCTAGATCAGGCGAGATGGTCTGCCTACCCGAAGCTTACAAAGATCGTGATCAACGTGAACCTGCCTGGAGGCTCCCGCCTTCACCTGCTGGGACAGCTAAGGGGGAGGAACTCGACCTCGCCGGTGCTCGAGGGGCACATCGAGGAGGGGAGCGAGGACGGAGAGTTCGTGGGGACCTTCAGCATGCAGCAGACCTTACGGGCGCATCCTAACGCGTCTCTTGCGGCCAGGAAGCAGCAGCAGAAGGTGCTCGCGTTTGGGAGAGGGCAGCTGGGAGGCAGGTGGACACTGCAGGGGATGCTGGAGGAGAGCCCTATGCTGGTGCAGCTGGAGCTGGAGGAGAGCGGAGACTTTTGCTCGGTCGGAGAAGAGAGCATGAAGCTGGCGGGCAGGTGGGGGGTGTACAGGGAGGAGGAGGCGACTGGGGCGCAGCAGCACAAGGGAACGCACCTGTGGCTGTGGGTGAGGAGAAGCCTTTGCTGGGGACTGGCTCTCAACGCCGACTACCGGATGCTGGGAAAGATCCGCCCGGCTCGGTCGCTTCAGCTGGAGGAGGAGTTGGCCCTGTACAAGGAGGACGCGCGATGGGAGGAGGAGAGGCCACCGGTTGAGGTGCGAAGAGGAGAGGAATACATGACATGCTGCTCAGTGCTGCTGCTGCTGCTGCTGCTGCTGCTTCCCTCCCTGCATCACTATCCCCCCTCCCTCCCCTCTCTGTCTCTCACTACTCGTCCTGCTCTGCCCTTTGATTTCTCTTCACTTGTCTACCAGCCCGACTGTGCTCCAGTTTCAATTCCAGAGATCACTGAATTGCTCGACATCCTTTTTCCCTTACTCCTCTTCCGCCTGTTCCTCTTCCTCTCCCCTCTGACTTCCCAGCAGGTGCAAGGTCACGTGCTGTGGGGGAACATCGCAGACATGGAGTACTCCTGCCTTGTCGGATCTTTCAGCCTGGTGCAGGACAAGCAGGAGGGGGGGAGGCGGGAGGCAGGGCCTTGATGGTACAACTTATTGAGTGATTACAAGAGGCCTTGGCGGAGAAGATCTTGGTAGGTCTTCTTGCTCAGCACGTTGCCAGCAGCGTCTTCGAACTCCTCCTGGTTCTGAGCGTCGAACTCCTGCGGAGGCGATCAAAGGACATTGAAGGAGGGGGAGGGAACGGGCAGCGAGAGGATGGGAGGAGCAGAGGAAGAAGAAAGGCAGAGGGAGGAGGAGGAGGAGAGGACTTGGCTGAGGAGGCAGTGTAGGAGGAAAAGGAGAGAAAACACACCTTCAGTCGCGCGTCCTTCTTGAGCCTCTCGAAGAGGTCGAGGGCGTCTTGAATCTTGGTGATGTTGTGAAAGGCCCTGGTGTTGGGGATCTGCGGCAGCGTGAGGGAGGAGGAAGGGGGACCGAGAAACTTGGAATCGACAAGCAATGTAGAGATCCTTGAGAAGGACGAAGATGGGAAAAGGAAGAGGAGGAGAAGGAGGAGGAGGAGGAAGAGTTATCAAGACGGATCGACCTTGAGGCAGCGCA